CAAGGAAATACCAATGGGTCGGTAGAATCCGATGTTTTTCAAGAAAATACCCACGGATTATCGAGAAAATGTCTGGGAGATCTGTCACTGATTTGAGTTTCCCATCAACAATTTACCCAAAACTTTTGTGATGAATCACCTTTTTAGCGACGGATTTCCCAGGAAAATGTTAGTAGGTAAAAGCATTTCGTTTAGCAGTAGTTGTTAATTGGTAGGAGAACCGGGGGAGACTTGGAGAGGAGGACCAACGATGTCTATTTTAATCTATCACTACAATAAAATCGGGTTTATAGGACACTCCCAAATTCTAAGTGTCTTAATAAACTTCTTTATAAGACTTAGTTCATAGGACCAAAAAAATAAAGTGTTCTATCTAAAGGTGTTGTAATAGGTTTATATGACATTTTTTGACGTCGTAATAAGTTATTTAGGACACTTTTAATATAAAGTGTCCTATTATCAACTTTATAGGACACTATTTGAAAAACTATCCTATAAAAACAAGTGTCCTATAAAAAATTGAGTTTATAGGACAATTTATCAAAAGTGTCCTATAAAGTTGCTAATACGACATTTTGTATTAAAAATGTCCTCAAAAACTTGTTAAGACGTCCAAAAGTGTCATATAAACTTATTATAATATGACACTTTATATTTTGGTCATATAAATTAAGTCATATAAAACGGTCTATTGGGACACTTAGAGATTGTGGGCATCTTATAAACCCAATTTTGTTGTAGTGTATTATATATATATATATATATATATATATCATGTTTTTGTTGTGTTGCAGTATGATGATGATGATGAATAAAAAGACAAGAAGGTTCTCCAAAATCCCAGATGAAGTCCATGCCGAATTAAAGCAAATATTTGTGGACACACCGTTGGTTATTGAAAAGGGTACAAAAAAATGGTCAAAATTGGATGAGAATACCGTTGACTACGTTCGCAATGGTATAATGGTGGGTCAACTTTTATTCACATATGAATGTCGTCTATAATTACTTTCTTACTGCTTACATGACCTTCTTGATTATTTGTATACACTAATTAACGTTTAGCCAAGATGGAGCGATTTCGATGGTAACCAACATGTTAACTACGTCAAATATATCGTATGGATCCTCGAGGTAATTATCTAATTAACTTGCATTTTAAGGATAAATAACGCCAACCCAAATGAATATGGATCGAGACGTACACTTGGTTGTTACACAGAGTGTTCCGGTGACGATTAGGGAGAAGTACGAGCTTGATAGCATGACTTTAGAGTATCGTCGAGAATGTACAAAGGAAGATGTGTTGCAGTGCCGTACGTATGTATTGGGGGAAAACAATGATGGAATAGCGGAAAGCGACCATGTTGATTGCCAACATATTCTTCAACTTGAGGTAATTGGCGGTGGCGGTGGCGGCACTGGTGACGGTGATGAGATCTTGAAAGGACGGACTAAGTGGCGGCCGAAAAACAAAAACTGTTAAGAGCGTGACGCCTTTAGATAGAACACTTTATATTTTGGTCTTATAAACTAGGTCCTATAAAGAGGTCTATTAGGACACTTAGGATTTGTGAGTGTCCTATAAAACCGATTTTGTTGTAATCTAGTTTATATCAATCAATTAAAGGAATAAATTTGTACACTACTTTTGACTTGGAAACTTCAGCTACATATCATAACTCTAGACTAGTATTATATATTTATTTCCTTAATTAATTCCATCGTAGGGATTAGTTTCTATTAACGAGACGTCTATTTTTTAATGCTTTTGAATTTAATCGAATCGTACATAGTAGATCCAGTTTTTTCCAATTTGTAACACTGTTTAACCATAAGAGTTTGAAATACAGACATCTTAAACGACATTATAACTGCTTATATAGTTTTATGCTTATTTTGTCAAACATAATACTGAAATAATTCACAGATAGGGGTCGTTTACCAAATGCTTATCAGGTGAGTGCTGACCGACAAGAGAAACTACTGTTACTTAACTTACCTTATCATGTAACATTGTCAGCTATTACAATGGATTGTTGGTGAGCGTGTTAAATCCGGTAAGTGCTTACCAAGTAGGAGTCGTTTTGCTCACTTACCGGATAAAACTCTGGGTCCTTATAGCACCTCTTACTGGGTAAGATTCTTGGTCACTAATTTGCGAGGGATGGTCCTAATACCAGTTCCTTCTAGTTTTTGGACCATCCTTCGCTGATCTGTGATGATTTTTTTTCGTCGCTAATGACCGTTGCTGATACTCTGTTTTCTACTAGTGTTTAATACGACACTTCTCCAAAATGTCTTGTGAAAAAATAGTACAAAATTTTATCTTAAAACTGTTCTAAAAAACTAGTTATCACGTCAAAAACGTCCTCTGAACTCATTAGGACATTTTACATATGACAAATAATTGTTTGGTTCTATAACGTTAAGTCTTGTAAAGTAGTCTATTAAGATACTTAGACAATTTTTGACGTTCTATAAACCTAATATGATCTCTTTGACTTGACACGTTCCTTGTGATTAAACATATCTCGTCAATACGTTTAATCTCTAACTATAATGGTATAATATCTATGTATTAAAAATAATTCGTAAATATTTATAATATTTAATAATATAAGATTAAAATAAAAAATATTCAACATTGGATTCATTTGGAACGTATTAACGAGACGATTATAATGGTGTAATTTATAAAAAAAACATTAATATATGATTATATGTGTTAATATAATAACTATATAAATGAAAAATGAAAGAACAAGGGATATAAAATAATTAAATAACTTCACACAATTAGGGATTTTCTATATAAAGCCTCATTTTTCTGTGTAAAACGTCTTTTAAATTATTATTATTTTTGTCCTAAATAAACTTTACTTAGAAAAGTATCTTTTTACGTAAAGATTTTTTTTATGAACTTTGGCTATTTAGAAAAAAGATTTCTAAGATTACTAAAAACTAAAATCATTTTAATAAATTAGATATTTATATAAATTCCCTTTAAGGTAACATTTGGTACGCAGACATGATTGGAGATGACTGGACATGACAAAACTAGTCATGACTTGACAAGACAAAAGGATAGGACTAGACAGGACAGGCCTGGACAGAACAAGTGTATAGGGTTATTTATAAAAATAACCGGTTTACACAACTCTTTGCCACAAAATAACCACATTTTAGAGGTTTTGCCAAAATAACCACCCGGATCGCCCCCGGGGGCGATCCGTACACAATGGGGGCGATCCGGGTTAAAAGTCTTAAAAAAAATTCCTCAAAAGTCGAGATTACTGTTCATCTCGTTGACCGTGTTTGACCTCGCCCCCGGGGCGATCCGTACTGTACCGGGGGCGATTCGGGGCGATCCGGGTAAAAAAAAAAAATTCTAATACCAATTTCACTATAAATACCAACCTCCTAATTCATAATTTTTCACACATTCCCTTCCATTTCTTTTCTCATATATTTTACATACACAACCCTTAACCCATTAAACACAATAAACCATCACAACCTTTAACCCACTAAACACAATCAACCATCACAAAACATGAAATCACGTGAAAGTGATAATGTTTGTGTGTATCTTCGAAGTGGCGGTTTATTCCAAGATATAACTGGTGTTTTAGAGTACCTTCCGATAACCTCCCCCACATGTGCAATACGTTTGTCTTCGCCAATAACGTATTCTGAGGTCGTCAAACGTGTGACGAAAAAGTTAAGTTTACGTGGTCCTTTCAATTTATTTTTTAAAACGAATACGTTATATCAGTTTATGGACGATGATGATGTGGTAATCCTCCACAACGCCATTCGTCAAACTTTAACAGAAATGTTGACACTATATGTTGACACAACGCCATGTTGTCAAGCTTTAAAATTAAATATGTAAAAAGACACTTTATGTATTTTTCAATTTTTATTAAAAACACCCCTTAATTGTTAAATAAAAAACACAAAATGACAAAATAGAGGTCAAATTTCGTAAATCAGATATTATATCTGATTTACGAAACCCAAAACAAATAAAAATAATTTTTGCTTCTTCATAATTATAAACCTTTATTTTTAAACCTTACCTTTACCTATGAAATTTGGTTCTAAAAAAGTTAAAAAATACAACTTAAAATGGCGTATCAGTTTTATTAAAAATACCAAAAAATAAAAAAAAAATACAACAATTATCATTCGGTTATTTTATAACGAAAAACTGGGAAATTTAAAATTAAATATGTAAAAAGACACACTTTATGTATTTTTCCATTTTTATTAAAAACACCCCTTAATTGTTGAATAAAAAACAAAAAAATAGAGGTCAAATTTCGTCAATCAGATATTATATCTGATTTCCGAAACACAAAACAGAGAAAAATAATTTTTGCGTCTCCATAATTATAAAGATTTATTTTTAAACCTTTTCCCATAAAATTTGATTTTAAAAAAGTAAAAAGTACAACTTCAATTTTATAAAAAATACAAAAAAAAAAAAAACACGGGGTGAACAGTATGGATCGCCCCCCGTACAGTACGGATCGCCCCGGGGGCGAGGTCAAACACGGTCAACGAGGTGAACAGTAATCTCGACTTTTGAGGAATTTTTTTTTTAAGACTTTTAACCCGGATCGCCCCCATTGTGTACGGATCGCCCCCGAGGGCGATCCGGGTGGTTATTTTGGCAAAACTTCTAAAATGTGGTTATTTTGTGACAAAGGATTGTGTAAACCGGTTATTTTTATAAATAACCCTTATTTTTTTCTAGTGGCCTAAACGCTTAATTTTGTAGACGAATGTTCCATATTTAGTAACTATTTTGTGCCCTAATTTAGACTTATAACATTCAATTCTAGGCTACCCCTAAAAGAAGCAATAACTTTATCCATGTTTTGTGAAATACATGGAGTAATCAAGAATTTCATCAAGAAATTCATCCAACGTGGTTGCTATAAATAGTAATATAACGAACGAACGAACCAATTAGTAAGAACTTCGTTCACATGGCTACCATTACATCATTCTTTCCCAATTCTTCCCACTGCCATGGCACAGTAGGGACCATAAATGTGCTTGGAATTTCCCAAACGAAATACGTTTCTTCTTGGGGTTTGCAAGTTAAAGCTTCGAAGGTGAATGGTACCAGCAGAAATGGAGGTATACTCCTTCCAGCAAATACAACTGTTGTAATGAAAACTAGGATGATGATGGACCAGAAGAAAATGCATCCAAACATGGTTTCAGATGTTAGTTTGGGGAGAATGGTTCACAATGGCTTTGTATTCCGACAAAATTTTTGTATTAGATCATATGAAGTTGGGCCAGATGGAAGAGCTTTGGTAGAAACATTAATGAATCAGCTGCAGGTATATATATATATATATATATATATATATATATATATATATATATATATTAGAAGGTTACTCGTGCAATGCATCGAGACATATTTTCATTTTAATGTTTGGTTTTATTTTTTACCCATGTCAATACAATACGATTTTATGTGGTTTTGAAAAACGATAATGTTTCCATTTTTGAATAAAATATAAATTTGAATATATTATATAAAATTTGCAAAAACTATATCAATATTAGGATTAAAATAAACTATTTAAAAGTTTTTGTTTATGTATTTTTAATTCAAAATTTTTATTATAATTTAATTTAACATAACGAAGTAACTTAATTTAGGTTTAATAATTATATTTTTTATAAAGATAATAATTAAGTATTCTGTTAAAACTCAATAATTATTTTAATTATATTTTACATTTTTTTTATATTTTAAAATGAGATGTTTATCATCTGCAGTTAGTTACACGAATTCAAATATAGAACTTTAATAAGTTGTACTTATGCACAATTTATTTGTAATCCTGAATTTTAAGTAATATGCATCAATAAACAGTACTTTATACATAAAAAATAGTTTTTAAGAATTTTTGTCAAATGTTTTATAATATAGCATAGATATGTGTGTGTCATATAAAATGTTTTATGAAAATGTGCCAACATTTCTTGGCCTCCAATTATGTAATTAATTAATAGTAAAAATTAGAATAAATGGAAATGGATTAGTGTTTATCGACAATTTAATTTTCTGTTATTTTAGATTTGTAGTTATACCTTAAATGTTACTAGTATCATGGAAGATTTCTGATGTCGATGCGTTCGTTGTTGATAATGATGCGACTTTACTTTGATAAATCGAACACTTCTTATGATGTGATTTTGTTGTGATAATTATCTGAATTTTGTTGTAATAATAATGTGACAAATAGAAAACCAGTGCTGTTCACGTCCATAATCATCGGCTTTGTCTTTACATTATGTGATTTGCGGCTTATTTTTCTACTTCACTCTTGCATGCCTTCAATGTTCTTAAATAAGGGTAAATATTAATTCAATATTTTAAATTGTGACTTCAACAAAATGATGGTCTTACGAGCGTAAATCACAGGTGTTCTCATTTGAACTCTTTTATATATATATATATATATATATATATATATATATAATATGGATGTTGGAGTTTCATATCGGTTAGACTTTGACCATTTATTCTCAATATATATATGTTTAAACCTCCTCTCTCTTTACAGGAAACGTTCCTTAATCATTTTAAGACAGCTGGACTCACTCATCATGATAACTACGGTGTAACACCAGAGATGTGCAATAAGAACCTATTTTGGGCAATAGCAAAAACGCAAGTGGAAGTAGACCGTTATCCACGTTGGTACAACTTAACACTCTTCTCTCTCGGTATACTTCAAATGCAATCACGTCTATTTGTACAACCAATGCAACCCAATCAATTGAGATATTTATGAAAATGATGAGAGTTCATTTATTATGATTTGAATATTTATGAAAGATGACTATAGTTCATTAATTATGATCAATACTTTATATTAGGAAACCATCAAAACTTTTATGAATCACATATTCATCAAATTAAATGGACGGTTGATATTGGTTGTACAAATGTAAATGATTGCATAATAACCCACGTCTATATATATATTAGCTTGGTTCACAGTAATACGATATATAAACCGATCATCTTTGTTTAGGGTTATTTAGGGTTAGTTGTTGCTTTGATGATTAGTATAGCAACCAAGTTACAAATCCAGGAACTTAAAGGCTTTGTAAAATTATACCATTGGGAACTTGAGCATCTTTTTCAAATCTCTTACAGGGGTGATGTTATTCAAATTGATACTTGGATATCTGCATTTGGCAAAAATGGTATGTCCACTAATTGGATGTTGTGTGATTGCAAAACAGGCGATATATTAATGAGAGCTTCAAGGTAAGAACATGAAAACTAAAAACTTGAGGCAAAACTTCTTTGTACTAATGATGGTATATCCATGGATGCAATCTTGTAGTACTTTTGTGATGATTAATAAAGAGACGAGAAGGCTATCCAAAATCCCACTCGAAGTTCGAGCTGAATTAGAGAAATATTTTGTGGATACAGCACCTATCATCGAAGAGATTACTAGCAACTTCCCAAAACTTGATAAGAACAACGTTTATGTTCGCAATGAATTAATAGTGAGTCGAGTTTATATAGCCTACAGGTTTTTTGCTGGTTAGGTGACCTTCTTGACATTTTCTGTATGCACACATATTTAGACAAGATGGAGCGATTTGGATGCCAACCAACATGTTAATAATGTGAAATATATTGGATGGATTCTCCAGGTAATTTGGGTTGTCTTGCATTTTAAGGATCTGAATGACATAAGCTCACCCCACTATGCATTAATAAGACACCTGTTTGTTGTTATAGGATGTTCCGGAGCTAATTTTGGAGAGTTATGAGCTTGCTAGCATGACTTTAAAGTATTGTCGAGAGTGCACGAAGGGCAGTGTGGTGCACGCGTACACTTCTGTATTGGGGGATAACAATGGCGGAATAGCTTACTACGATCATGTTGATTGTCAGCATCAGCTTCAACTCGACGTTGCTGGTGGTGATGGCGAGATCATATTGGAAGGAAGGACTAGGTGGCGGCCGAAACAGTGGTGACTAGTTCCCAAATGGAACTGATAGAGAGTATGTTTATATTCTTCAATATTCGTAAACGTTTGCAAATATCTTATTTCCTTGGCGATTGTACATTAACTAGGAATGTATTCACTATATACATATGTCGCATCCACAGTGGCACAACGGCGTGCATGCCTATGATGCCCCTATACGTGGTTAATAGTCGGATGCACCCGTAATCTAAGTGTCACAACACATTTGACAGCGTAACGTCTCAATTATGATCAAGTTATATTAAAGGATGTCAAAATCAAATGAGTACGTGATATTGATCAATGGTTAATTAAACAAGGATGCAAATATGCGATGACCTAAGTGAAATAAAGTCGAAATGTTGCATTTGAAATAAGTGATAAGAGTTTGAATCGACAGTATGCAATTAACACTGTACTATAACTTTGTATCAATATATAGAAGTTCTATCACAATGGGTGGGTGCTCTTGTATAGCCACAATTGATTTAAATGCCACTATCCAACTTTAACGTATGTATTCATATGATTTATCGATCTATGCATGTTTGTACTCTTCATTTCAGCCTTTGTGGTTGATGAAGAAACTTGTTATCCTATCACATTCTTTTGTATGTCGAGAGAATAGTGAAGGAAGTACGACACTAATAAAATAGTGTTTTAGAACTTACTTTGTCTGACATGTTGAACATGTCCCCATACCAGGATGAGTGTTGAAAAAGTTGGTAAGTCAAACTTGTTGGACGAGTTTGTACTCCAAAATCCAGCTTTGTGGTAGTAGTATTTGTCATATTACTATTTTACTTTATCTTTATATTTGATCTTCTTTTCGTTAGATGACAAACTAATCCACTTCAGTGACGATCTTGACCTCACTTCAACAAGTCATCAATTTTGTTGAAGGTTTTTCGTTATCAGATCACTACAGCTCGTGATAAGACTTTTACAAGTAAAAATCCTATATTTTCTATTCCCAAAAATAAGTTATACATCGATTCCAACTATAGAATATTCGTAAAGTAGATTTATTGGATTCTAAAATAACTTAGAATAAAATGTGGATCCTTGAAACTCAAGATGGAAAGACCAAATGATTAGTCAATTGGGTTCTGGAAATTGTATGAAGAATAATCAAATCAAAGATTTGATCTCACAAGTTATCTGAATTACAGATCCAATGTTTGACTAACATATGAAGCCTTACTAAGGTTCAGATGTTAATCCTTTTGAGTTATACTGATTGATGTTGTTTATTGGATAATAATGTTACAAGGAAATGATAAGAATTTCTTTCTAAGTATTGAATCAGATGCTAGTTGTATTATCAGAACATCAGATGGTTAAAACTAAAGATCTCCCCCTTTTTTGTTAATAATTCAGATAGATATCTATAAATGAAACACTTAAAATAAAATGGTATTGAAACTCAAGCGAAAAATAAAATCAAAACTCAGAAATTCAATGATCTATTTTTTGATTCTTTTTGTCTTTTTTTTCTTTCCTTTTTATTTTATTTCCTTTTCTTTTCTTTTTTATTACAAAACAATATAAATGAAAATAATGTAAACGAAACTTTTCATTCAACTTATAAGATACGACCAGAATATGATTACATAAAATTATGTTAATCATAATTGAATCTTGGAGGTTGAAGATGAAGGCAATCAGTCTTTTGATTTTTTCGAGTTACATATTTTCTTGCTCGTCCTTTAGCTTTTTCCTCTTCATATGTCATATGTCATTTTCCTTTATCAAAAGGACTTTGACTTCTGCTTTGCTTCCCTGAGTTGTTGGAGGGATTTGCTCCCCTTCAATGGTTGGAAGTATTTTGCTTTCATTATGTTGCTAATCGGATCATCTTGTTTCTCCCCCTCATCAGCAACAGTGGAAAAAAGTAGGGCATCCACTTTTGTGGTCAAGAGGTGCATAGAACATCTTGTAGTTTCATGATATTTCTCAATCTGAATTATTCGTACCCTATCTTCAACAGTGAACGATGTCGTAAAAGAGGACTTAGTGGAACTTTTGTTGAGTCAGAGTTTGAAGTAAGGAGTTTTGAACATCAATTTTGGAATGGAGTTGCTCCAAATATGTCACAAGGCATCGAATGAGAATAAATGCTACTTCTTCTTGAAGTGTTTCACTATACTCCAGTCTTTTGTTGGAACGAGACCGGTATCCTGTAATGCTGAAAGTTGCTTTTGTATTTCGAAAAGTTGGTGAAATAAGGAGGTTGATAAGATTTAGGTGTTAGAAGAATGAATTAGATGAGAATACGTGTGTTGAACATCTGATTGATGAGGAAGGAAAGTTGAGGTTACTAGATGATTTTCAAATAGTGGAGAATGGATGGGGCTTGAAAGAAAATCATGTATCTTGAGGAATTTGGATAAGTTTGAATCAACATTGCCCGTATGTTGAGATATAGGAATGGATTATGGATATATGGTTAGGATCCGATGAATCAACAATGTCCTTTGAAGAGGGCATTGAGGGGATGGTTGGGGGTGCGGATATTGTGGGTCCGATATGGAATGGAGAAAATAATTTGGAAAGAAAGTCATTTTTTGAGGGATCGAAGTGCACCCTGGGAGTATTGGTGATCACTGAAGATGCATCATAATTGGCTAGGAAAGCAAAGTCTTTTCCTCATTTGTTATTTGATGATTGTGAGATATGAGAAGATGTCAATGGCTCTATTGGCATTATTATCTCAAAAGAGAATACGGGATCATGACTTTGACCAATGAAAGTAAGGTCTTTGTAGGAATCCAGATCTTCTAATGCACTAGTAATCACAGCTTAAGTCAATAAGTGAGCGGAAACAATATTATGAAACTAGTAGGTTAAGAAGAAATGAACAAGACATAGAAATCCTTGAATTATCGAAAAAGTCGACTGTATTTGAATTGTTAATGAGAATATGTCAAGAACACCAAGAACATGCACAAGTGTGTGTACAAAATATCTCTCAACTAGCTAACTTTCTCACAAGTGCTAAAATATCTCTATAAACTGGCAAGGAGCACGTCTTCTTCTTTTCAAGATTGGTAATTGATATCCTTAGAGAAATTACCCTTTTATAGGAGTTTTCTAGAAAAGGAATCTGCCATAATTTGGGAAATAAGAGAAGTTAACGCGTCCACCAATCATCTGCCTTCACGTGTCTGATTGGAATAACCGTTTTTGGAAACGTGTCGGGTTGAGACTTGACCACTTGCAAGACGCACCGTGGAACCTTCACATGAAAGGAAGAGTAGGAGACCTAGAGGCTCTGCATGTATAGTGCAGAGGCTCTGTGTCTTGAGTCGGGATCTGTACGAATCCTTAGCTTTTTGACACGCAATCTTCGATCTTCTTTCCTCTTAGCGACGAGCTCTATATCCGGGTATCATCTCTGTATCTGAGCTCTTGCTTCCAGACATATTTCTAGACCAAGACCTCTTGACTAGAGCAAGAAGCTTATTACTTTCACTTTTGAAATAAACATTTTAACAATCTTCCTCTAAGTGTAATAAAAAGACTTGTTGGAATTAAATTCTAGTCCAGAAAGCAAGAGGCCAACATGGTCTTCTGTAGGATATTTTTATTTGGAATTGATAAAGCAGAGTACAATACTTAACCAAAAAAAAACTTACAATGAAAGAGACCTAGAAATGTTGAAGTTTCATGAACCTCCTAAGAAGCTTATGAAACTCAAGTACACCATCGATTGAGTGTATGAGTGCAGAGGCTCTTTCTCTTGCAGCGAGGTCTTGGTCTTCCTTTTGACATAAGTGATTCTTGATCCAGTGCAGAGTGTCATTTGAATATTTGAAACGTTGATCTACTCTGAAGAATACTTTCTGTTTGAGTTCATTTCGAAAGACCACCCCAAGCTATGGCTCTATGATGACTATCCAGGAAGGGATGAACTTGATGCCTTCAAGATCTTCGTTTGGCACGGTAACAGATAGTTGATCCACTCTTTGAAAGTCGACCTTGCTCCTAAACTCCTATAAATCCATCATGGTTTGGCGTATAGCAGAGTTAGCCAATGCGAACTTGATCTCCTTTTCTCTCTTATGATCCGTATGAAAGTACACAATGATAAGATCCCAAGGGTTCAGATTTATGAGATCACAATTTGTGAAAACACTTATCTGTCCTTGAGATCGTTCCACCATGTATTGATGAAAGATGATATGGTTGTCAATGAAGGTCCTCTTCTTGATGTATGGTACTTGTTTTATCCCATCACAGAAGTGAACTTCTCAGACAGGAAGAATATATTGACGAAGGAACCTCTGCCTTGTATTCTCTTCGGCAGTTGGGTGGAGGTTGATCTTTATTTGTGGCACCTCTTCCCTTTATCTGTATAAAAACTGGTATATCTTTTCATTTGCAATCGGTTCTTTAATTGCCTTGTTCTTGAGAAGAGGCCTCATCATCGCATCCATTTGTTCCCTGATTTTCTTGTACTCTGTCATACACAGGATTGGAGCTCCGAGGTTGGTTGCTGCTTGCTTATGGTTGAGTATGATGTTGTTGGTGTGGTTTTGGAGCTTGGTGAGGATTTTGGCTTGGCTTTGGAGTTCTGGTTCTTGGATCTTGGACAGACAGAGCAGATGCAGAAGCAGATGTGAGCCTTGTTGGATTCACTTATTTTGCAACAAGAGGTTCATCCTCAGACTCGTCTACTATAACATTTACGATGACCTCCTCTTTAATCTTTGTCTTGCTGAGGTAGAGCTTCTTCCATAAGGGTTCAAAGGATGATGATGATGTTGATGAAGAGTCATACGTGTTGATGAGGAGTTTCAAGGCAGAGCTCTTTTCTTGACCAATGCATGTAGAGGCAAGCCCTGATTTCGCAGGCTTTGGTTGCTCTGGTTCTTTCTGTTGAGGTTGTGGTGAAAGCGCAGGCTTTTGATTTGATTCTGGGGCAGACAAAGAGGAGGTGGGAGCAGCATGAAATGAATTTTGTTGAGAGCTCTCCCTTTTTTGATGATCTTGAGGACCAAATTCATCTGGATTCTCTTGATCATCAAACATCCTATGTTTTCTGGAGCTTTCTGCACATGGAGACTCTATCTTCCTCAACCTTCTCTTTCTCTTCTTCTTGAGGTCCGTTGGTATCATGGATTTCACTTTCTCATCGAACATCTCCATGATGTCGGCTGCTGCTTGGTTT